CACTTTAAAACCTTCCATAAATTTTTACCTTTAACAAAGTAGTACTTTCATCTAAAAACAAGTATAGATTTGGGCTTCACATTTTTGTCATTAATCACTTTAAAACCTTCCATAAATTTTTACCTTTAACAAAGTAGTACTTTCATCTTAAAAACAAGTACAGATTTGGGCTTCACATTTTTGTCATTAATCACTTTAAAACGTGTTTCTACATCACTGGTGAATTCCTCATACAGTAATTTTTTTTAAAGTTTTTTCATAACTCTGGTACATCACTTCATCCAAGAAATTGCATATCTGTCATTTTTTATCAGCAGTGTAATATAATCTTCTATAAAAAGTTATTTAAAAGCAAATTTGTAAAGTTGGTATTTAGAACTAACTGGAACTTTTTACAGGACTTGTGATGAGTGTACCTTGGTTTCTTGTGCATGTTGACTTCCAGATAACAAGATTCTGCACAAAACATCAATTGTTAATTTAAATTCTTATAGAGATGATAGAAACTTAAAAATTGGTAATAAAATTGGCCTTCTATCACAGAAAGGTGGCAATAAATGGGCATTCTCTAACTTAAAAATGTGAATAATCTGTTCCCCTAATGGTTGTGTTGTAATTATTGTTTGCTTATTTAGGTCTGTGATTTGGATAGCTTTTTAAATGTTAGTGTTTCTAAATTTACCAATGGTTAGGTTAGAAAGTGAGTTACTGGCATTATTTTAGACTATTACAGTAACCATCCAGTGTGACTGGATAAGTTATTTTTTTTAAACAAAAAAGTAGTATTTGATTTTTTATTTCACTCATCAAATCACAATACACACTTTTGTAATTTTGCATATGTTCAAAATGTTCCCTGTTTTTCCCTTATTATGTATTTTATATTTATTTTTAGTCTATGCAAGCACAGCAGTAGCTCCAGTGAAGATGACTCTGAAGACTCCCTGAGTGATACTTCAGATTCACGGACTAGCATGAGACGCTGCTCATCTGCACAGAAACAAATTAACAAAGGCCGTTGGTCCAAAGATGAGGTGATTTCCAATTCGTAAAAGTGATAAACAAGAAATATAGACCAGAAATTTAAATATAGTTTGCTTTAATTGATTTTTAATGTGTGGTATCACTCATGATGACTTAGTATGTCTTGCCCACTATGTCAGAATTTCCTAGGCAGTACTTACAATGAACACTTTGTTCAAATTACCCATTGGCTTAAAACATGTCTTGTGCTGTTGTTTTTTCTATTGTGAATTATTGCCATTTTTTTTTCAGGTGTTCGTAGATAAAACAATTTTTAAGCCTTTTTTTTCAATACAGGATGAGAAGCTAAAGATGTTAGTGGAAAAACATGGTTCTGATGACTGGGCATGTATAGCAAGTTTTTTTCCTGATCGAAATGAACTACAGTGCCAGCAAAGATGGCAGAAAGTTGTGAGCCCCGACCTAGTCAAAGGACCATGGACCAAAGAGGTTCGTTGATTAAGTGTATTTCTTTTTGTTGTTAATTAAAATATTGGATTATATTTACCACATTGTTATATTGATTGAGATAAATAAAACAATTATTAGGATTATTGTTGTTTTTCTTTGCAAATGTTTATTTATGTTTTTTTCCTTAAATAATGATTACGTGGTTCAATCAACAAACCTGTGACAGTATTTGTATTCCGTATAATCGAGGTATAATTTATCCTTTCTTTAAGATTGCTTTCATAAAAGTATTGGTTAGATTGTTTGTTTAATAATTCTAGTTTTATTATTATAGTTTATATTTTCATTATAGATATTGTTTTGCATTTTTGAGTTTAGTATATTGATTTAGGAGTAACCTAAGTTTCCTAGCTAGCTGAACTTTATACAAGATTGACATATTACTGGGTTTATATCTAAAAATACCATTAGCAGCGAGGTTTCCTAACTAATGAAATAATACATTCTATTTAAAAGTAAGAATGTCGCAAAAGTATACTTAATTAACTATATTTATTACTGGGTTGATTGTAGTTTTTATCTAAGTAGGTAGCCTGTTCTAATTGCAATTTAATGTATATTTATCATTGCATGGATGCTATAGTATATGCAAGTTATAACCTTAATATACTTATTACAAAGGTTGTGCATAGTTGCATTTTATGTATAAAATTGTAGGTTTTACATTCTTAATGGGAGTTTAAGTATTTTTTTGTATAACTGGATGCCTAAATTGATCTTTGAGCATCGATTAGTGTTGTTTAAAATAATCAATTAATTGAAATTAGTTAAATCAATTAATGTATGAAAATTAATCAACTAATCAAAATTAGTGTTTCTGGTTATTCCAACTGTCTAAATAATTGAAATATTGCCATTACTACCTTTGGCAAGTTTGTTCAGCGTATTCTATTAGAGCCACAGCTTCCAAAAATAATCAGCTGATTGTAATTCGTGTTTCCAGTTAATACTGTTTTTGATTATAGCAAGTACTTAAGTAATTTCAAAATATTTGCTTTATTATTATTTTTGATTATTTCATGTTAGTTGTAGATGAAGTAGTTTACTTGCATTATGGCAAAGTGAAAGTCAGTCCCACTATTCATGGGTAAAAATAGTAGCCAAAGAATTGGCATAGGTGCTGCCGACCAGTTGCTTTCTCTCAGGCCAGCAGTTCAAAATTAGGGATGGTAAGAGACAATCTTAATAGTTTTGCTACAACTCAAACACATAGAAACAAATATAATGCCCTCGTGGTTGAAAGGGAAAGTAAGGTTGGTGGCAATAGAAATCGAACCCCCGAACTTTGAATTAAGAGGCAACCACACAAATAAGTAATCGCCAGGCCACGCAAGTCCAAAGCTGAGTTACATAGCAAATAAATTCACGTACGAAATGACAGCTATTATTACTTCCATTAGCACAACTGTAAGCATGCATTCTGCTTCCATTTAATTGACAAATCTGAGGATGTAGCATAGTGGTCATTGGTTACACAATTAGCTATAGTGATGCATTTTGTTTGTGTTTACCTTGTGTAGCTTAAACAACAGTGTAGCTTTAACTTAATATATTGCTTACTTATTAAAAGCTACAAACATACCAATATTGCTTAGCAGAAGATTGCTTTAATAATAAAAAATGTTATGACAAGTTAATATTCATTATCCTTTATATTTTGCAAAAGAACGTTATTTGCCGAGTAACTTGCTTATTTAATTGAGTTTGTGAAACTAGGCATAGAATAATAAGTAACAGTATGTAATTTCATGAAGTCATTAACCTATTTACGTGAACAGAGCTCTTGTTAAGTTATGCCTAGCTAAAGCTAGATAGGAAGCAATGTAAAGGGAAAACTAAAGTTTGACTGCCATCATGTGACATTTTTTTACATTACTGTGGTTTTAATATGTCTCATAATACTTTGAATTCTATCTTATGAATCATTTTCATCTCCAAGAGGTTATCTAGTATCATCACAATGTTTATGGAGAACTGTAAAAATTCTAGTCTCTGTTTTTCTAGGATAATATTGAACCTGTTTTCACTGAATCATGTATTGTTTGTCAGTGCTCGATCTATATACATTATGTATCCATGTAAATACACCTTTTTACATACTACATTTTCACACATTAGATATCAAAATTGTGCACAAGAAGTATGCATAGTACTTGCTGGTGGTTATATCATTCACGTGTTCTTATTCCTTGGTTTGAAAGGAACAAAGACTTGTATCGGTAATAAAATTAACACAAATCTTAGAAAAATCATTCACACTGTAAACTGATTGAGTTATGTAGATAAATCCCTTTACATCAAATCCTGTAACTTGTTTGCCTTCCACCACTATGCTGTGGAGACCTACTATATCTAAGCAGTAGGGAAGATAAGTGATACGGTAAAACTACAGTCTGCTGCAGAAGGAGTACCAGTTCGATTAATGAATTAGACTAGTACATCATACATTGGATTTATAAGTTTAAGTGAGGAAAATTACCAAATGAATTATACTGCAGTTATCGGTTTGTGATGACCTGTAATTCAGAGTGACTGTTAACCTGACAATTATACCAGTCTAACAAAGCATTTACAGTATTGAATTTATGCTCTACTTGCTTTGGGTGGTCATTAATGGGATGTTAATACAGAAATAAGAAGAACAAGCACCTAGTAACTATAGCAAAATGGTGCTCAAATGTCGGGTGTTGGATGATGAAATAGTTAGTTAACGTCAAAACTACTCAAGTTTTCAACATCAAAGTTTATTTTAAAGAGTAAAATACTCATTATTATGTTAAATGCTTATCTTGAACACTTATCTATCACACTCTGTGATAAGAATCTTTACTAGTTTTATCATAGGAAATCTGAGGACGAATGAAGAATTAATTTATGTGAATTTTTAACAACAAATATCTGAGTCAACCAGCCCACATATGGTACTTCACCTCCACGAGGCACACATCTGATAGTTCCTCAGCTCTCTTGCAAAATTTTTCAGAATATACACTGTTATATGAGGAATCTAATATTGTTGGTTAAGCCTAAATTGAAAAGAAATGGAGGAGATACAATGATTTACTTTTTTGTTAGATGGAGACACTTTTTACTAAACTTTACTTGAGGTCACAGTGTTATCACAGTATCTATCTATAGACATTTCTTGCAAAGCCAGTAATCATTGGGAACTGTAACGACAACCAGTAGAATTTCTGTGAAGATTGCACTTACCTTGGAGGACAGATGTCGGAAGCACCAGTTTCAAAATTTGCAGGTGTAAGGCAGCATAAGGGTTGATGTGTTACCAATCTAACAAATGTTGAAGTAACCATGAAAGGATATTAGTTATAGAGAAAGTAGGTCAGAGAAGAATTTACACTAGTGCTAATAAAAATGGCCCAGGCATGTTTACAAAATCATCAGAAGATGTGGACATCCATGACCACCATATCTATAGAATAAACCACAGGAGAAGGCTCTCGGATCAAGCCCTTCAGATCCATACATTTTATTTCAGCTTTTCCAGATTTCCCAATCTTATGTGGACCTTACTTTGTTACCAATAATTACACAATTGGTCTGGTTGAATCAGAGATGTATTGTAAAATACACTATGGATATTACCCCCTTTTGCATATGTCACTTGTGTGGTAGTATGCTTTAACATCAGCATTGTTCTAATTCTTGTAATAAAGTTTCAGAAAGTGAATCCTGTGCTGTATTATCAGTATGATGACAGTGCACTGAGATAGCTTGTAAAGTTACTTCTTTCTACAGTTTTAACACAAATCAAGCAATGTTAGTGCACATAACAACAACAGAGTGAACCAGGCCTAATCTAGTATAGAAACATTAGTACTTTGGGTTAAGCCTAATTTGTTTACTCGTTGTTAATAAAAACTTTGGCTGTCTTACTTATAGAAATTAAGTTATCCAAATCATTTATAAAGTGTTTTAAAATTTGATAAACTCGCTAAGAATTTTAATATGATAAGCCAATACACCAGAAAACCAAAATCTGTGATTATGATGCATTGAATTACCAATTGGTTATCTTTGATATTCACAATATTTTCAGTCCCAGTTTAATAGATTACCCAACTTTTACTTAAGAACCTCTTTCATTAATTAACTTACGAATTGCCGATTTGAACTCTGTGAATTATATTTTGAAAATTTCAGATTATTACCTAATATTTTTGCCATCAGTCTTTGAAATACCTTAAGATGCAGCATACCAGAAACATGGGGCCGAGTATATCCTAGTCATTAATGTGCAAGACTGCGTATCTGAGGGTCCATGTTGTCGTAATGTTATAACTTTTCGTTGGTAAAGGGTAGCCCAAGTGTTGGTAGTATCACTTCACAATTAGCCCTCGAGTAGCTTAACGCGAAGTTCAATAAAAAATTAAAAAGAAAACTTTTTTTTTCTTTCAATAATATGACTTGTTAATGGTGTCATAAAATGTTTT